AACTGAAGCAAAAGTCATGGAGAAACACTGGATTACGGTCTTGCTTACTTGCTCATGCTCAGCTACCTTTCTTATAGAACCCAGACCCACCTGCCTAGGGATGCTGCTATCTAGAATGAATTGGGAGTATGTCCTCACTATAAAATGTTAGTATTTTTTGATTCAAGCAAACAGAAAGATTTGCATTTTATTTCATTGTTTTCATTTTTAGTCAAGGATCATTAGTCTTCAGCATAAGATCATGTACTTCCTTTGCTAAGTGTACTCCTAGGTTATTTTTGATGTTACTGTACACATATTACTTTAATCTAATTACCATAAGGTTGATTTGAAGTATATACAGATCTAGTGTTGCATATTCAATTTGGATATGTCCTCCTTGATGAACTTCGTATTTACTTTTTTAAATGTTTTTGATTTTTTGTGAATTTCACGCAATATATTTTTTATCATATTTAGATCCCCTCTGCTATTTGCACCTCCTCTTGCTACCCACACCCAACTTCATTTACTCTAATATACATATATGAGTTGGGCTTTCTTTTTTCTTTTTCTTTTTCTTTTTTTTTGGGTTGGGCTTTCTGGCCCACTTCTCCATGTCCATGCTAGCATTTTGTCTGCCTTGTGCTTACATGGGATTTGTGCATGCTGGCAGCATTGCTGTGAGTTAATTTCAGTAGCTAACCAGCTGTCTGGAAAACTTATTACTTTTATCAGATTTTTGTATATTTTGTGGGTTTATTTGGTTTTCTATGTACAAAGCAGTGTTATCTCTAAAGGGCTGCGTTTGTTTTTTCTTACTTTCCATTGTGCAAAACTCGTGTTTCTTTTCTTGTGTAATTTCTCTGTAGCATCTCCAAATGATGAGTTCAAAAACTCTTTTCTTCTAATATCTGTTTTCATTGTTATAGGTCTACATAATTTTTTATGCCTTCTTGAATCAGTTGCCAGCTTTTGCAGCTTATCAAGAATTTATCAATTTCAATTATTCTCCTTTTATATTCTATGTAGTGTGTGGTATTTTGTTAGTGATTGCTATAGATATTTAAACTAGTGATTTTCCTTAAAATTTAGCTTACATTAACATTAAATTGATTTTAATGTAGCTTATTTATTGTCTCCACAGTTTGCATTATATTGTCACACCAATTACCCCTGTATAAGTTATGAAATCTGTAACCACAACTTTGTAATTATCACTTTAGTTTATATTTAATTCTGACTGAGCTTGAAAGTTCTTCAAGCAAAAACATGGTTACACCTATACTTATATACATATTTATAGTTACTAATGTTCTTTATTTCATCAAGTGAACTTGAATTATTTTCTACTTTCCTTTAATTTAGCCTGAGTGACTCTATTTGTCTGTGATCACATCTACTAATGGTAAAGCAGTTCAATTTGCATTTATTTGCTCAAGTGAATAATAGTCCTTGAATTTTTGTTGTTGCTGAATTTTCTAGATAATAGCAAAACATATATATGTGTGTGTGTGCGTGTGTGTGTGTGTGTGTGTGTGTGTGTGTGTAAAAAGTTACACAGGAGTAGAATTTTGTGAGTAGCTTCAAATTCAGTCCTTCTTTATTGAATATTTGTCAAGACTGACACACAGCTAAGGAGACGATGTTATGGATAGGGAAAGTTAAAATTTCATAATGTTTACTATCATTGAAACTCAGCCCAATGGGATTTTGTTAGTTTTTGGTTAATTTTCAAATTTAGTAAAACTTTGATTTTGATAGTATTCTCAAATGGTCATCTTTTTCATTGAGGCATGAATTTTCAGTTTCATATTCCACCATTCTTGACATTATCCTTATTCTTAAATTTAAAATTTTTATAACGTTGTCATTTGAAAGTTTTGTTATCAATTTATACTTAATTTTTTTCTTTTTTAGATGGTTTTTAAAAATCATTTTATTTGTTATTTTTATATGTATGTGTATATTGCCTGCATGTAGGCAAGTGCACCCATGTCGTACAATGCCCGCAGAGATCAGAAGAGGCTGTCAGATCCCCTGGAACTGGAGTTATAGGCAGTTGTTAGCTGCTATGTGGATGCTGGGATTCAAAACTGGATCTTCTTCAAGAAGAGCCAGCATTCTTAACCACTGAGCCATCTCTCCAACCCCTATACTTAATTTTCAAAACCTTTACAACATTCATGCTTCAAAAATTTAAATAACATTGGTCTGAAGAGAGGGCTCAGTGGTTAAGCACATTGGCTGCTCTAGCGGAGGACCTGGGTGCAGTACCTAGCACCCACATGGTAGCTAACAACCACCTGTGATTCCAGTTCCAGGGGGATCTAGCACATTCTTCTTTCCTGCATGGACACTGCATGACAGAGGTACACTGAGAAGCAGGTAAAGCATCATAAACATAAAATAAAAGTTGAATCAATCAAAAATTAAAATATAAAGCCAGGGTGGTGGCACACACCTTTAATCCCAGCACTCAGGAGGCAG